ATTTGGAGGCATGGAAGAAGCATGAGAGATCAGAAAGCTAGTAAGCTCCTCAAATGGGTTAAGGCAATAAACTTGCCTAATTCAAATATGTGGGAGAATATGAGAGTTGAGTTTATAAGGGTAGAAGCAGACAATATATATAGAGCAGCAACTCTTAATGTAAAAGGTAAAAATTTCCTATTGTAATATTGTTCTTTTTAAAAATATTGGAGTGAAATATTTTCTCTAATATTCTCGATCCTAAATCCACTATATATTTTCGTTGTGCCCAACAAATTTGGTATCAAGCCGATACCATTTTTCTATCCTCCTAAATCTCACCATATTTTTGTTGTGCCCAACAGATTCCTTATTGTAATATTATAATTATCAAGGGCAAGTAAAGAAAAATGGCACAACCATTAAAAAGGAAAAACTTATCAGTATAGTTATGATAAAGAAGAAAAATTCACTACAATAAGTGTATGATACCATTTATTCATAAATTTACTTGGAAAAGCAATGCAAACTAAAAACTAAGCCCTGATTAGTGGTGCAATAGTTTGTGATCGAACTATTCTCTCACCTTGCTTTGAGGCTCCAGATGGTTCTTCTTCTAGTCGAAGGCGACGACTGAGGAGTGAGAATTTGGAACTCGTGGATTCGAATTTTATCGTCATTCCTACTGGATATGCATTCTTGAATTCATAGTGAGACTTTTCAAATATTTCGTCAAACATACCTACAACTGCGTTTCGCATGTCGTTTCACGCTTTTCGGGCCGAACTTGGTTTTTGTTGGTGAGGAACTCCTGAAACCGCCTAAGGTTCCATGTTTTCAAGACTATAGCTACTATCATCTTCTTCTCATGGAACATTTTCATGGTAGTTGTGAGAGTAAGAGGTGAAAGTAATAATTTCATACTCGTGCCTATTTCTGGCCGTGGAGAGTAGCAGCATGACTAGGTTCAATGGTTGACATCCTACAAAGATCACCCGATATTAAGGTATAATTTTCCAGGCGTAAGAAGAATGTTAGAGTGGATTGAGTGGCACGTTCGTGTGCTTAAAACATTCTTCCCCAAGATTGGATTTAGGTCACACAATTTTCCCATCAGGGGTTGGCGCTCACGCTTTAGAGAGGGTAAACGCGAATTTAAGGAAATTATAACAAAATTCGCGAATTTTTGTTTGTCGGAGCGCGAATTTTCATGAGAAATTCGTGAACTTAATTCATAGAATAAGAGGAGAACAGAAACTGACAATGGTGATGACAATTGATTTGATGAAGGAGAAGGAATCGATTGCTGGTTGATGGAGAAAGCTGAAAACATGCCCAAGTCTCTCCATCTAGAAGAGAATCAAGTAATTGGGGGAGATCTTGAACTTTGAGGCGATGGCTTATTGTCGGCACAAGAAATTGCAGTCTGAATCAAGGATTGTATGTAGGGAGTCGGTGGAGCTCGCTTGGGTTTTCAAGACTGGGAAGTTTTATGAGATAGGGGAGATTTGTCGATGGGAAGAAGGTGCAGATCGACAGGATGTGAGGTAAGCTGAGTGAAGTTTTGGAGAAGTGGGATAGAGAGAGGTAGATGCTGCTGATACGAGGAAGAAGGGAGCAGAGGATAGAGTCGACAGCTTCAGAGTTGAGGCTAGATTGCTCGTTTACACTCTGTTTGGGAAGGGAGTAAATGGGAGGGGGGGGGGGGCGCAAAAGACAGGGGGTAAATCCCCTTCTCAAGAACTTTGCACCCGTTTGGCAAAAGTTTCAACAGTAGGGGGGCGGCCAAGTATAGGTGCAAAATTACTATTCCACCGAGCCCCCCAAATTCGGGCGGAAGTGGAGAGAGAAAGATTTGAAGCTTTTGAATTCTTTTTTCTGAATTTTTTTTTGCCTCGTCTTCTCCCTCTGCAAAACTCCGTCAGTCCTTCCTTCCCCAACCGCCATCTTAGTACTATCTCCAGCTACGCCTCACGGCCGGCGGCGAGCAAACATCAATAAATCGAAATCGAAATCGAAAGGGGAAATGAAGTGAGATCCAGGTCACCCAAGTAAAAGCCCATGTTTCTCCTGGCCGCCGATAGCTCCATCTTCCAAACTCACAACCCAGAAAACCCAAATGAAAAAATTAGGTCATAGTTAAGAACCTTTAACCGGAGATAATCAAAAGAAAAAAAAACATGCAAGCCGAATCGCACCTTGATTTGTGCTTTTTCGGTTATGGGTATTAGAGTCTGGGTTTTTGTGGTCGGCGACAGGAGGAAGAAGAGGATTTTTTTGTGTGACCAGATTCTGTCCGACGCAGCCACTCCCCATGGATGTAATTAAAGTGAGAGCTTATGGAGAGGAAGATTGAGAAACGGAAGCAGGAGATTTCTTTTTCTTTTTCTGAATCGATATAATTGAGGTTGGGAAGCAGAGGTAGAGTGTCGTAAATGAATGTAGAGAGAATGAGAAGATGGAGAGCAATGATTGTTTTTACTTTTTAGGTAAAGAGTAGAGAGAGGGGATGAAGTTGGATTGTTACTAGAAAGAAGAAAAGGAAAATGATCAACAGATCAAGCATGATTGATTAGAGTGGGAGAGGATAAAGGAAATCTGAAGAAAGTATACGAAAAGATAAGCTAACATCATTAATATAGAAAGTGAAAATATTAATTGTATTTATTTTTTGATTTGTTAATATAATATTATTATTATTAGATTTTATATATCACTTTGCACCCCCTTACTTTTTCTCCCAAACAACAATTTGTACCCCAATTTGCACCTTTCTTAAATTTGCTCCCCCCTGCAAATTACCCCTCAATATGCACCCTCCTCGAATTTGCACCCCCCCTTGTTGCCAAAGAGAGCGTTAGGGTTTTGGAAGGCAACCAAATTTGGGCTCAATAGATACACTTTGGTTGGCCCATACAAAGTTTTAATTATCCGCAAACTTTTTGTGGGATGTACTTAGCTTGTTGTGACTGTGGGTGTGCTGTTGTGGGTGTTAATTATTATGTAGGGAAATTTAGAATTTTTATTTTGAGTTTTCTATTTGGTTTCACCTTTTTAGTTGTGGATAATTAAAGACGATTGATGTAGGTTTGTATCCATAGAACTTTAAATTAGTCTCATTTTCTATGAGTAGTGGGAGTATTTTGTCAAAATTAGGTATTATTTAAAATAATATTTTAATTAAAATAATATAATATTAACGCTCTGTCGACGCTTTAAATTTACAATTTTTTAATAATAGACGCTTTCACGCTCTCGTTTTCGCTCTCGCTCCACGAATCAGTAAGCTAAGATTGGATAACTGTGCTTGACCTCTGTCATTAGGGGTGTTCAAACGGTTTGGTTACCATGGTAACCGTTTTAACCGTTACTATTTGGATAATTTGGTTTGGTTAATTTGGATAATTGGTTTGGTTTGGTTAAAGTTTTTAGCTTGTTTGGTTTAGGTGGTTTGGTTTGGTTTCAGACACTCCTAACCAGTAAAACCAAATTAACCAGTTAAATAATTAGTCATATATCTAACATATATTATATACACATACTTAATACTTTGCATAATCACTTAAGAGTTAACGTTCATCTCTTTTAGACTCATAAAATATAAAGCCCAATATTGCTCATATAGTGTATATTTGTATATGTAAAATGTAGACCACAACATATGGACGCCTAATTTAGATAAATTTCATACATTATGATGGATGAAAACTTGAAAGGAAGGTCATTTCCAGCCTCTGATAATTGCTAAGAGACTAAGTCAATTTACAGAAACACAACAATTCATTAACCCATACCATTGTCATAAATTTTTGTTAGGTTAATACTTCTATACTAATCGTAAGATAATTGTCTTAGTTGCATGCATTTTTGTTAACGGTCAACTATAAATACGTGTTGATTGTTATGTTTTATTTATTATATAAATTGCGAATTGTTGCATTAACCGGAAAATTTTCATCGTCAATGACAATGTGATTTTATATTGGTTAATCTGGTTAACCAATTAACCAAACCGATTAAACTTTAGTTTGGTTAATTTGGTTGTTGTATTAGTTTGGACGGTTTGGTTATGATATTGTATTCCATGGTTAATGGAATTTAGTCTTATTTGGTTTGGTTATAACCATGGTAACCATTTGAACACCCCTATCTGTCATACCTACTGTAATTTTTGGTGCAAGTCACTTTTGTGAAATGAACACAGCTGTTCTGTTGTAAAAAGAACTGCGCATTAGGGGTATGAAAGGGATGGCAATGGGTCGGGTTGGGTCGGGTTTTGCCAAACCCAAACCCAAACCCATGGGTTTATCCGTGAAAAAAACCCGGGGTAAAACCCACTGGGTTTGAAAAACTCAAACCCAACCCAACCCGCTGGGTATTCGCGGGTTCATGGGTACCCACGGGTTTTTGTCGTAAAAAATTCACAATAAAAAATTCCTACAAAATTAAAGTCAAATTACTCAAATATCAATTTCTCAATACAAATTATCCATATATAAAACACCATTCTAGAAAATTCAAGCAAATCACAAATTAACTATACAAATTGTTCAACACCAATCTAGAAAACTCAAGAAAATTGAATCAAATCACAAATTATTCATAAATAACATGATTAATTGAAAGCTTCTTCCTTTCAATTAAGTTTTTCACTCTCCACTCGATAACATCAATTTCATTCTACATAACTAAAAAGAAAAAATTAGACATGTCTCCACAAACTTAAATAAGATTAGTTGTTTAGAATATTAAATATGCCGAGAAAATTAATTATATGAGTATGGGCGTTACCCATGGGTCGGGTTTACCTAAATCCAAACCCAACCCGGTGAATAGTGAACGGGTTTAAACCCAAACCCGGACCAAAACCCGTCAACACGGATTTTACCCGCGTTGACCGGGTTGGGTCGGGTGGGTACCCATGGGTTTGGGTTTTGTTGCCATCCCTAGGTATGATAGCTAACACATTTCTATGGTTAATGAGTACAAATTATTTATGTCGATTGTCCATAATAATTGCTATCCTTAACATTTGATTGTCTCGATTTAAATATACTGAACTGAATTGCAATTCTCTCAACAAATCGCAAATCATTTAACACAATCGATACACATGTGTCAAACATTATACAGAACTAACCAATTGCTGAATGTTCAGAGGTATCAAAACCCAATACTTTCTGTCTACTTTTCTGTGGCCTTTTAGGCTCCCAGTGATTGGAGGAGGTTTTACACTTGGAAGTTAAGTGGAAGTAACTAGTTTTTCTTTTTTCCTGCACTATTTTGCATTTCTGCTAGAAAGGTATCTTTATCTTGTGCATTGTTGCTATGGGTAAGGGGTTTAGCTAGGTGAAGATGTTTCGTCTAGTTTCCTGTACTTTTGGTTTCTTCTTTTGCACTTGGTTATGACTGTTCTTGGTTTCCTTCTCCCTCTGCTCTTCTTCATCATCTCGTCATTTTATCCCTTTGAGATTTGTCTCACTCAAGAACAGTAGAAAACTGAGGAAGAGGAAGTTAAATTTTTTCAATCAAGTATGAATAATACACCCACCCAATCAATCAACTGAGCAAAATAGTGGAAATTCACAGAGGGTACTACGATATTTCGAACAATGTGATCATGTACTTGTATATGAATCATATCAAAGCTAACATATTGTTACCCAAAAACGGAAACTCTTTTCTTTTTTCCTATAATCTACAGCTTATAGTTCTTCATGTGCCTCAAATAAAGAACTGAGGGACGGTGATGATGATGATGAGTTAAGCTCAGATGTTAAAACGTCACGGTGAATAGATACATCTTCAACACGACGGACAGCGCTAGCTGCAGCAGAAAGATCCCTGCAACGATCAAGAACCACCTCTCCCCTGCCGACATGATGTGGGCTCGGAGGTTCAGTGCGACGAATGATGCTGACATGAAACCTGCGACACCTGCAACTATCCACCGGAAGATCTCCAAGGGCACAATCGAGAGACACTGACAGAACATGAGAGACATCAGCCGGATATCTTCTCTAAACTGATAATTCTACGCTTTCTTTCCTATTAAACTTCCATAAACTAAGGGAAAATTTAGTCATTGAACACATAAATCACATATTTTAGTAATATGTATCCAAAAAGTCTTGACGAATTGTATTACCACCTAATCATTTCACAATCCATTTGGTTATTAAGTAATTTTTTCAAGCACCTCTACTTGTACTTTTTGTTTCAGTTGACAACTTGCCCAATAGGTACCAACTTGTCCAATGAGAATTTTTTTTTGACTCACCAGTGTTGGGATGAAGATGAATAAAGAGTAGCCATAGAGACAGAAGAGCTGGACCAGGCCTGATGGCGCTGAGAAGTACTTGAGGATCACGTACAAAGCGAGAGGAACAAGAGTTACATATCCATAGAACAAACCGGCAGACCAAGTCACGACATTTATATCATAGTTCCATTCTTTCTTCTCAACCTTGTGTGCTACATAAGTCACAAAAGTTCCAATTGAAGCTGCTACGAAAATTAGGGTAGTGCATATCCAGAATGGTCCATACCTGCACAAGAGGAAGTTACAGGGACATGAGTAAGTTTTTGCCACCTAATCACATAAGAGACATCTGATCTTCAACATTGGAACGTTGCAAGCAAGGTATTGACTTAAGCATAGGAAAGCTTTGATGTCGGAGAAACAGAGTAGTGAGAGATGACTCACAAATCTGGGTTGTTAGTTGTTTTCTCGTTGAAGGAACCATTGAATGGGAATAGTGAATCTTTGATTCTCTCTAGAACATCTACAGTGTCAACGTCAAAGTATGGCTTGTATGAAGCAACTGAGAATGCCCGAAGCCAGCCACCTGGCTGTTGTGGTTCCTCGATACCATTGACCGGTTTTGAAAATGAATCTGCAAATGTAGACAGTCATTCAGCAAGCACGACAATATGATAGAACAAACTCCATCATACTACAATTCACTCATTCCATATAAATATCAACTACCCAAGAAACTCAAAAGGAAGCAAGTTTCATGTCGCCAACAGGCTTGATTTGGAGATCATAAGAGGAAATAAGCAACTAGCAGCTATGATTATCCACGTAATCTCCTCCTGAGTAATTACAAAGAAGAAATTGTCAAAGACATCACTTCTCCTAAGCATCATTCACCCCCCTCCTACTCATTGGTATTACAGAATCCCAACTTGAAGCAATCTGTCAAATGCTATGTGAAAAACTAGAGAGCATGCACATCAACAAAGCAAACTAATTCCAGTTCTAATTCAAAGCCCTCAAGTTTGGGTGAACCACGAATTTCTGAGTTACTCTCAGCATGATTGGTGCTTCACAGACACATGACCTCCCTTTTCCTTGGAAAGGATTTGCCCCAACAGAAACCCTGCTCAAATATTATATGTACAACATTGAAAATTTCCAGTTCTTGTTCAAAATCCACAAATTTCGGTAAACCAGACTTGTAGTTCAGAATCCCTACTCAAGCAGAACTTCAACAAAGACTTACCATCAGCATCGCGGGGAGGCCTGGATGCACCACTGATCTTGCCCTGAGCGCCAGAGGGCGGAAAAGTTTGCAGATTCGACTCTACGCATCAAACATTACAATCAAATGGCCGAAGAACACAGAAACAGAAGGAAAAGGAGTACCATCCTAGTCCTAGGCAGCAAACAATCTCACTTAACCACTCTACCAGCCCCCAATTCCGTACCCAGATTCATCACCAACCCGATTCAACCTCCCCGCATATCTCATCCATCTCTAATAAATTTTCCCGCCACCGCCGATTCAGAAACGAAATCGGAATGAAAAATTTACCTGCGAACTGAACTGGAATGTGCCCTGGATCGGTAACCGCCTAGGGAGGAATCAGATTGGAAAAAATAAGAAAACACAACGCTGGCTTATCAGATCTGGTACTGTGAATTACGAAACGAATTGGATATCCGCGACAAGTCTGAAAGGTAGGAGTGAAGAAGAGTTTTTCACTTACAGGTACAGATCCTGAGACCTTCTGATTGTCAATGTGATGGTAGTTTCCGGACATCATCTTTCCTTCCCTTAATTTGCCTAATCTCCTCTCTCGCGCTCTGTATTCTCTCTCTTCGTTTCTCGGAGAACAAACAGATCTCTTCTTGCCTTTCCTTCTCGTTACGCCGTTCGTTTTTGAGTTTTGATTCTTTTTCTTCTCGAATAATTTATTTTTCGTGTTTTACATGTTCGGCGACCAGTCGGAGTCACGGAATTGAACTGAATCGAGTCATGGTTGTCATGCCGGTGGTTGAACCTGGTTCAACCTATGCCGGTCATGAAACTGGCATGACATCACCGGTATGACCGGTATGATCGACTTACGCATTCTAAGTAAAATGACATCATTTTATGAATTAAAAGAATAAAAAAAATTAATTTATTATTCATTTTACGAATGTAATAATTAAAAGTTGATGATATTTGTTGGATTGTAACTAAATTGTTCACAAATATGTTTTATGGGTTAAAGACACATTTGGTCACTGAGATTACAAAATCGGGACATGTTTAGTCACTAGAAAAATTTAATATCAAATTTGGTCACTACAATTACTAAAACTGGACGCATTTAGTCACTCGCCGTTAGTCTCCGTCCAACTCCGTTAATGAAGTCCGTTAAGTGCTGATGTGGCAAACAGAATTGCCTAATCAGCCGGATATTAACCCAACAAAAATAAAACCCGACCCGCCACGTCATTATAACCCGCCACCTCATTAAAACCAACCCAACCCAACCCATCACCCAAGCCTACCCAACCCTTCTTCCTCCTTCTTCCCCAACCCAATTTAGGGTTTTCCATTCCCAGATTGAGTGAATTTGGGCTGTGGAACGGCATTCCACGGCTCCACTCACCGGCCCAAACCCTCCACCTCTGCGTCGGCACCCGCTGCCTGATCTTCCAGCTCTACCGCGCCGATAGGGTTCCGCTCTCCCTGCGAAAATTCCTCTACCACACCGGCAACACCTTCGTTGGGCTGTGGAACGGCTCCGACCAGCGGAAGCTGTACGAGTCGGAGCACGTGGTTGGCATCCACGATCTCCTGGATCTGAGGAAGTACGCGGAGGCCGACGATGGGAGGAGCCTGAGAGGGGCGTCGGCGGAGGAAATTGTGAGGAAGGTGTTGGGTTACGAAGGGGTGAGATTGGAGAAGGAAATTAGCCTGAGCGATTGGGGGAGAAGGGATCTTGAGCGCGATCAGGTTATGCAAGCTTGTGTTGTGTTGATGCTTACGTTTCTTTTCGGATTGGGAGAGATCTGCGAGCTTGGGAGCTCTGAATTGAAGATGGAAACGAATTGGAGGTGAAGGTAAGTCGGATTTTGAATCGACTTGCGTTTTTGGGGATGGTTGATTAGGGTTTTAATCTATCAAGCTTTGTTGTTGTTTTGAAGCTTCACTCAATCTGGGAATGGAAAACCCTAAATTGGGTTGGGGAGGAAGGAGGAAGAAGGGTTGGGTAGGGTTGGGTGATGGGTTGGGTTGGGTTGGTTTTAATGAGGTGGCGGGTTATAATGACGTGGCGGGTCGGGTTTTATTTTTGTTGGGTTAATATCCGGCTGATTAGGCAATTCTGTTTGACACATCAGCACTTAACGGACTTTATTAACGGAGTTGGACGGAGACTAACGGCGAGTGACTAAATGCGTCCAGTTTTAGTAATTGTAGTGACCAAATTTGATATTAAATTTTTCTAGTGACTAAACATGTCCCGATTTTGTAATCTCAGTGACCAAATGTGTCTTTAACCCTATGTTTTATATATGATTAGATATATTGGATATTAATTGTTTTCACATTTTTTTTAACCGGTATAAACCGACATAAACTGGTTATACCACCGGTCGTACCATTCCACTTGCCAAACCGGCACAACGGTATAAACCGGTTTGACAACCTTGGAATCGAGAAAAGACAACCCGCGACTCGACGTTTGCCAATCGGGAATTCTTCCCGGCGGGAATGGGCTACGGAAAGTCCGATAGACAATTGGAGGGATGTGGGCCTAAATGGGCCAATGTCATATTGTAATCTTCATTTATTTAAGATCCAGTTTTAGGTTTGGAAATTGGAATGTGTAAATGCAAAAACAATCTCAGATCCTTACGAAAAAAACAAACAATCATTTATAAAGGTTTGGTCCGCCATGAATCAAATCAAACCGAGTGGTCAACTCTTGGTTTCATGAATTTTATATAAATAATTATAGAAAATACTGAATCAATATTTAAATTGGAGTAAACGTAATATAAATCACTTACATACCGTTTGGTATAAATGAATTCCATAAGTTTTGTGGAATTCATTTTGAAATGAAACATTTTTGTGTTTGGTATTTAAAAGAATTCATTTTCAATTCTAAATTCTAAATTTTGAATTCTATGGAATTGGAACTAGTTATAGCAATTCCTTGAAATGAAACATTTTTGTGTTTGGTATTTAAAAGAATTCATTTTCAATTCTAAATTTTGAATTCTATGGAATTGGAACTAGTTATAGCAATTCCGAGGAATTGAGATGGAATTTCCAAATGAATTCCACAAGTATTTACTAATTATAATAGAATGATATAATTATCCTCTTTTATTAATTAAATTACTTATACATATGACATACCAAACACTGAAATTCATTTGACAATGAATTCTGCACGACAATTCATTTTATTTATAAGGATTTGAATATGACATACCAAACACAAGATTTCATTTGACAATGAATTTTACAGGGTAATTCATTTTAAAATGAAATTAATTCTTGATTCATTTGGTACCAAACGGTCTGTTATAGAAAGTAAAATGAATGAAAGAAAAAAAAAGATAAAATACACTTGTATAACCATAAGTATGCACTTTGTAACAACAATATCCAATTTTGGAAAAAAATACACAGATATAGTCAAACTTTTGAAACTGGTATGACAAATTTAGCCATTTCCGTTAAAAACAACTAGCTGCTGCCCAGCCCCATGGCCGACATTGTTTTTTTTTTTAATTTTTTTATCATACGCATATATTTGTTAGTATCATCTTCAGCTAAATTAATAATGTCAACATTTTAATTTGATTATTCATGTTTTATTATAGCTTAATTAAGTTTAGGTTGGAATTTACATACTCTATATAAAAGCCCTAAATTTGGAATGCACGTTTTTCACTAAAAGCACTCAAATATAAATTGAGGATGACTCTATCTATGCTTCTTTCTATTAATTCATATGAAATATTTTTATTTATGGAAGTGAATTAAGAAATTATAGTTCGTCAATAATTAGTGGATTGAGAAATATGCCTTCCGAGATACGACCCAAGTTTCTATCTCATTGCATACTGGCGGCAGTTATATTAATTTCCTTTACTCTACATTTTCCCTCTCCTCTAAATCTTATTGCAATTCATCATAGAAACATACTAGCTTATAACCCGACCTGTTGGTCGGAGGAGCCGAGCCGAATATTGAATTATTGGGATAACCCGTAGATTCAACCATTAAGCTAAATTGGCATAATGGTGAGTACCGCCTAGCATATCCCTAATAAAATTTTGCGTACCAATGATAATTCCTCTCTTCTCCTCGATGGCTTCTTCAATAATATGAGATTGCGGCTACCTATACCAACATGTTCTATATGAATATAAAATGGTATTTTGTATAAACTGTTTCTGCCTTACCCATTTTTGCATCGCATCGCCAAGAGCTAAGAAAAGGCCTATCCTCCACCGAAACAAACCCTATCCTGCATTCCAAGTCATTTCGATGAAGCGGATCAGCAGAGAAATGCCTAGATCGAAACTGAACATAAACCAAAATAATAAGTAGAAACTGAAAGTCGCCACACTATGTATTCAATATATTGTCAAATATAATCTGGCATTTAGAAAAGGCCTCTATGTATCCGTTCAGGCATCTAAAACAAAAGAAACCTCAACTTAAGATGTTTAGAGTAAAAGAGAGAGGTAGTGCAGACAATACCAATAGGAAATATAATCTGGCATTTAGAAAAGGCCTCTATGTATCCGTTCAGGCATCTAAAACAAAAGAAACCTCAACTTAAGATGTTTAGAGTAAAAGAGAGAGGTAATGCAGACAATACCAATAGGAAATATAAAATTCATGAACTAAGTCCAACGACCATCCCTAATATAAATAATAAAACCGTATATTTAAATTACTAAGAGTTCTTTCTCTAATCACTCCCCATCTGACATTAGAGGGTTTTATCTTATAGCTTGATACGGAATAGATTTGGATAGCTCCCTTTTCTTGGCGGGAGTAGACCAGGTTTCTCCTTTCTTGGCGAGAATGGCCAGGGTTTCTATTTTTCTGAAATTCGTTCCCATCTTTCATTCCATTCGTAGGTATAAATACAAATGAACAATAACTAATTCCCTAACAAACAGCCACTACTACTGCTACACCTATCTACACGTTCCACTTATGGTGGAAGTGATTAATTCCTAACAACCTTTAACCCTACTATAACAAAGACTCCACAACTGACTCAACAAACATAATATGAATCCTGATATGCTGCAATTTACTAATTACGGATCAAGTGCACATTGGGCTGGTGGCTCGGCTGGACGGCGAGGCCCACTGAATTGTGGCCCATCATTACCACCTCCTGAAAGAGCGGCCTTGTCCTCAAGGCCGAGCTGAAAATAGTGATGCCAGTTCCCACGAACAAATCCAACATGGAGAGCTTCTGCACACAAGGGCTTCATATCTTTGGTGAACGAATGTGTTACTCCAACAAGATCAGCTGCTTCAAAACTATGAAATTCCTCTTCCCAATCCATCATTCCTTGCATCCCATGCATTACTTCTCGAATCTCACGTATCTCCTGCCTTGGTATTATCCCACCAAATAATGGAAATGCCACCTCCATCTCGTCAACCATAAATGGAAACCAAACACCATTCCCAAAACTAAACATCAGCTCGCATATCTCGTCAACTCCACTAGTAGTTTCATTGTACGAACAATCCCCAGCTCCTGATCGGCCCGTTGCTTCCCAGCCAGACACGCTCTCCTCGATAGCCGATTTCTTCCACCACGCGACCCTCCCTATCTTCACTGGCCGCAAAGGCTTCTTGGCATAACCCACAAGAAATTCCTTAGACTGCGGCGTGGTGAACCGCTTCGAGAACCCAATTCCATCAAACAATAATGCAGTCTTGACTCGGA